GCCTCCCAAGTAGCTGGGACTACAGGCGCCCGCCACAACGCCTGGCTATTTTTTGGTTGCAGCCATCATTGTTGTTTGGCGGGCCCAGGCTGGGGATTTGAACCCGCCACCTTAGGTGTACGCGGCTGGCACCTTAGCCACTTGAGCCACAGGCGCAGAGCCTGAATCTCCTACCTTAATGGGACATGGTTTCAAGTAACTTTTGACTATTTCTAATATCAAACTTAGCATGAAAAAAAATACCACTATTGTTAAACTCTGTGTTATTGGCTTGCCAGGCACTTTGTTTCATTTAAAGTAGCCCTAAACTTTCACCATCTGTACAAGGTAGATAGGGGGTTCTTGGTCTTCCCATTGTAAAGATGAGAGAGGTGACTTAACTCAAGTCTTTTAGTTAAAAATTCTACCCCAAGCCCATGCTTGGGCTTTAGGGATTTTTGTTTGCTTATTTCTTTGTCTGGGTATGGATGTTTGGATATTTGGGGGTTTGAGCTCAAGTCTATATCAAAAGAGTTTATTTTGAAATAAGAAACTTAACAAAAACCTTTATATACTCCTCTATTTTCCTCTTTACAAGGATGATATAATTCATTGTAGAGAATTTATTTTGAAAAACGTAGCAAGAGGAAGAAAATTAAAATCCATTATAGTCCTACCTCCTGGGAATAAGCAGTATAAACATATTGGTTCATAGTCTTCCTTTCCTTCACAATTTAAGTGGGAAAAAAAATTATAAAGTAGAAGTGTTAGAAGAAAATACATGTATTTTTGTCATGCTAGGGTGAGGACCCAGAAGTCATAAAACAAAAATTGTCAAATTTAAAAGTTTTTTATAACAGGCAAAAATAAACAACAAATGGGGGAGATATTTGTAGAATGTGTATCAGTAAATTTTAGAGAGCAAGTTGATGATGACATGGGGGTGGACATAAAGTTCATGTGCAGTTTACTATGTTAAACTATTTTAAATTGCACATGAACTTTATGTCCAGTCTGTATATTATAATTTTAAATGTGCATACCCTTTGACCCAGCATGCCTCTTTCTTAAACCTTACTCTGCAGAAATACATATCCCAGTGAGCAAAAATAGATGGACAAGAAAGTTCATTACAGCATTACTTGTAAAACTGAAGAACAAAATCACCAAAATGCCCATCAACGGGGGGCTGCCTGAATATGCTGTGATCCATACGTATAGTGGACTTGGTTGTTAGAATGGGCAGGTCTACATGTTCTCACCAGGAAAGGTGTGTAAGATACAGTGTTTAAAGAGCAGTTTGTAGGCATAGTGTAGCTCATGCCTGTAATCCAGCCCTCTGGGAGGTCCAGGCGGGTGGATTGCTGGAGCTCAGGAGTTCAAGACCAGTTTGAGCAAGAGCGAGACCCCGTCTCTACTAAAAATGAAAAACTGAGACAAGAGAACCATTTGAGCCCAAGAGTTGGAGGTTGCTGGGAGCTGTAACGCCACGGCACTCTATCCAGGCCAAAAGCTTGAGACTGTCTCAGAAAATAATAATAATAATAAGAAGAAGAAGAAGAAGCAGTTTGTAGATAATGTTATACAGTCCTATTTTATTTTTGAAAGGTGGATTGTGTGCATTTGGAACTTGGAGGCAAAAAAGCCTGACATTATATTTGCCTCCTCTCATCTTCTGAAGTGAAGACTGTTGATGACAGGATTGTATGTAGCATTTGAGAGACGGGCTGGGTGGGTTTTTACTTTGTATATGTGTTACACATCTGTGCATTGTTTGAAATCTTATATCATATAGTACCAGAAGAATAAGGGGAGAAACCCTGTATGCAGCACCCATTCATCATATACGTATTCTGACTTCTGTGGTCATTCACTCTTTCTCCAATTGTCATATAATATATGACCTCTAGGATTAGGACAGGATAACCAAATCTCCTTCTTTGATTTGTACCCCTTAACTCTTGAACTCATAATTAATCAAAAGTCTTACTAACATAATGAACCTTTTCTCTCCCTGAATTTGTCTTGCCCAGATGAACTCCTTGCCAGCAGAGAGGATCCAGGAAATACAGAAGGCCATTGAGCTGTTCTCAGTGGGTCAGGGACCTGCCAAAACTATGGAGGAGGCTAGCAAGCGAAGCTACCAGTTTTGGGATACGCAGCCTGTCCCCAAACTAGGTATGTATGTACTTTCTTCCCCAGGTGAGGGCAAGGGACATGCCTCAGCTATGGCTCCATGGTAGTACCACCCTGAATTTATGGAGAAGGGCAACAGGGTCCTGGAGTTCCTTGGTGTTTATTTTAAGAGGAGAGTCTTTTAAACGCAGCAAAGACAAGACTGTTATTCAGACATCTTATCATTTCACAGCAGCACACACTGAGAACAAATAATGATCCTTTAGTCCATCATGTATTGGCACGTGATGATTTGGGATGTCTGCCCGGAGGTTTGTCTTCCCATATAGATTTATAGAGGGACTGTCTAGTTTGTTCGTTTTTTGTAGAGACAGAGTCTCACTTAATCGCCCTCGGTAGAGTGCCGTGGTGTCACACAGCTCAAAGCAACCTCCAACTCCTGGGCCTAGGCGATTCTCTTGCCTCATGCTCTCGAGTAGCTGGGACTATAGGTGCCCCCCAGAACGCCTGGCTATTTTTTTTGTTGCAGTTTGGCCAGGGCTGGGTCTGAACTTGCCACCCTCAGTATGTGGGACCAGCACCCTACCCACTGAGCCACAAGTGCCGCCTGGACTGTCTTGTTTTTCTGGACAAATGTTTAATCCTGTCTCTTCCCTTTATCTCTCAGCCAGTATATGCTTACTAAATTTTACATGTTGCTTAAGAGCAATGGTTCAACACCTGAAATCCTATAAGTAGAATTTGTCAGCACCCCTTAAAAAAAGCTATAATAAACTCTTAAAGGGGTAGGACAGGCAGAATGTTTAAATAGCAGAGTTAGAGGCACTTGCCAAGACTGAGTGACAGCCAACCTTGATGAGTACCTTCAGAGCCTGAGGTTGACCAAAAGTTTCTGGAGTATTTGCATCATGATTCTGGACACATTGATGGCCAAATTTCTGTTTCCTGTGTGGCTAGGTAAGTTAAGTTATGTTGAAAAAAAACCATGTTCCTGGGCCGGGTATGATTGCTCACACCTGTAATCCTAGCACTCTAGGAGGCCAAGGCGGGTGTATTGCCTGAGCTTACAGGTTCAGCCTGAGCCAGATTGAGACCTCGTCTCTAAAAATAGCCAGGTGTTGTGGGGGGCACCTGTAACCCTGCTACTTGGGAGGCTGAAGCAAAAGAATTGCTTAAGGCTGAGAGTTTGAATCTGGTACTTTAGACCACTCGGCTATCCTGACATCCTTAAGGCCAAGAGTTTGAGATTGCTGTGAACCATGATGCCATAGCACTCTACCAAGGGTGAGAAAGTAAAACTCTGTCTCCAAAACAAAACAAAAAAAAAAAAGAAAGAAAAAAACATGTTCCAACACCAAATGTAAATGATTTTCAAGTTTTCCTTGATTCTTCCTTCCAGAATCACTGTGAGACTTGACAGTATTTGCAGTGGGAATGAGGAGGGTGAGGCAGGGTAGGGCCAAAGACTGGTACGGGGAGAAAGGCAGCTGTGCCCAAGGGCCTTCACCTTCTGCAGAGGTGAGGAGCATCAGTGCTCCGTGGATGGGCAGGATGAGTGTTGCCTTAAGAGCTTATAGAAGTGCAGTATCTTGGTCCCAGCCCAGACCTGCAGAATCAGAGTTTACTGGAGATTTGTGTCTACTTTCAAAGTTTGAGAAGCTCTACTTGAGAGCAGATGCAGTTCTTAGACAGGTTGGTCACAACTCAGAAGCAAGCTGAGGGGACGTATCCCCATGGGCAACGGAAAGCAGGTGAATGTGAGTGGTGCTAATTCCAGGTCCCGGAACCCATTGGCTAAACCTTCCAGAGGGTGTTGGGTCATAGCATTGCTGTTAATAGGATGGGGACCCAGTGACCACCCCAGTAAGGAGCGGGAAAGATGTAGAGAGCTACATATTCTATTTCAGAATGAAATCTCTGAACAGGAATTTTGTGGCAGCTACACACTTCTTGGCCCCATTTTCAGATGGTGTTTAGTGTTTGGAGTTTGGGGTTGATTTTATTTTTTCATTAGGAATTTGCAAATGGGCCAGGTGGGGTAACTCACACCTGTAATCCTAGCACTGTGGGAGGCTAATGTGGGTGGATTGCTTGAGCTCAGGAGTTTGAGACTAGCCTGAGCAAAAATGAGATCTTGTCTCTACTAAAAATAGGAAAATTAGGCAGGCATTGTGGTGGGTGCTTATAGTTATAGCTCCTTGGGAGGCTGAGGCAAGAGGATCACCCAAGCCCAAGAGATTGAGGTTGCTGTGAGCTGTGATACCACAGCACTCTACCGAGGGCAACAAAATAAAACTCTGTCTCGAAAAAAAAAAAAGGAATTTGCAAATAGGTAACCTTGCTCCATTCTTCACAGGTAGTAGGACCTGGTGAAGATGCGACTTGGGATTAATGGGTTTTTCTTCCTTTTCAGTCTGGCAGCACTTTGTTGTTTGCCTCTGTGTCTCACCTGTAAATGTAGGAAGTTTGGAGCACTTGAGAAAGCCACACAGTTACTCATAGTGGCCCTGACACTCTCAGGAAGGTGGAACAGTGTTCTGTTTTATTTCTTACGGATGTGCCTTCTATACAGCACGTAGTGTGGGATCTGGAAGAGTGGTTGCCCGAAGCTTCTGACCAGTCCGCCTTTTAGGTTCATGGTCAATCAAGCCCAAATTAAGGATCTCTTTGTCTCAGTGAGTTAGCCTGCAGAAAGCACCACCTTGTCTGGCATAAGTCAGCCTGCATGGCTGAGGTATTACCTTTGTTCTACTAAGTATCCTTAGGATAGTGTCATTTACAGCTTCTTGCCTTAAATTTTTTCCACTTAAATGGGGTATTATGATTGCAAAACTCCTGCACATTGAGTGTACTATGTACTCTCCACATTGGGAGAGTTCTAATTAGATTTATTTCGCTGAAGAGACCTATAATTCTTTAGAAGTTTAACATTGTCCTAGATTCACCACTGAAAGGCATTCAAACCAGAAGTGGTTTTGTGTGTGTGTGTGTAGAGACAGAGTCTCACTATGTCGCCCTTGGTAGAGTGCCGTGGCATCACAGCTCACAGTGACCTCCAGCTCTTGGGCTTAGGTGATTCTCTTGCCTCAGCCTCCTGAGTAGCTGGGACTACAGGCGCATACCATAACGCTTGGCTATTTTTTTGTTGCAGTTTGGCCGGGGCTGGGTTCAAACCCACCACCTTCGGTATATGGGACCGGCGCCCTACCCTGAGCCACAGGCACCACCCAAACCAAAAGTGTTTTAAGATAAATATAGGTGTGAGCTACTGTGCCCAGCCTTCAGTTAGTTTTTAAAAGTAATTCTCAAAGGGAAAATGTGTACTCACTTGGTTTCCCTGGGTCCTAGAGAGAAGCTTCTCCTCTTTTCTCCCTCTCCCTTGTCCTCATTTGGTTTATTGTTTTCAGATCTCATTGTCTTTACTCCTGTATCCTTTATAGTTATACCAAAGGGTTTAGATTTGAGTCCCTGATGTTGGAGGGTAGAAAAAGAATTTTTGGAGGAAGAGTGTATTGGAGGTGGTCAAGAGCCATTATAAAAGGTAGAGGAGACTGGGGGCGGGGGCTCACACCTGTAATCCTAACATTCTAGGAGGCTGAGGAGGGTAGATTGCTTGAGCTCAGTAGTTCAAAACCAGCCTGAGCTAGAGACCCCCATCTCTGCTTGAAACAGGAAAATTATCACTCTGGGAGGCCTATGGCAGGTGCCTAAAATCTCAGCTACTTAGGAATTTGAGGCATGAGGATCGCTTGAGCCCAAATAGTTTGAGGTTGCTGTCAGCTATGATAATACCATGGCACTTTACCCAGGGCAGCAGAGTGAGACTCTGTCTCTAAACAAATAAATAAGTAAGATATAGAGCAGGCCACTCTGTACAGAAGGACAGACAGAAGCTGTCACTGGGACGAGGACAGTGCAGGGACCTGGGGCTGCTTCTCAGTTTCATTGGCACTCCAGAGCGAGCAGGAGTCTATTGAAAGTGGCCACTACTTTCTCAGTGTTTCCTGTACTTCTGGTTTTTTAGTTGTATCTTAGAGATACAGAACAAGCTTAGGATGACATAAGTAAGTCATACTACGGATAAGGTTTATCAAAAATAGATTAAGACATACTGTTTGAATATTGTATAAAAGTTCACTCAGAATCAGTTGAGAAGCACTTACTGAGTGCTCATTGTAAAATGCAGGTCTGAAGGGCCCGCTGGCCCCTAAAAACCCATTAAGGATATCCCACAGCCCTCAGGATAAAAATCTAGCTTCAGTAATAGGGTGCCTTCAAGGCCCTCTGTGACTGGCCCCAGCTTTCCTCCCCAGTCTCATCTAGTTTCAGCTCCTCCTCTTCATCTCCAGCCTTTCTTTTACAGGGACTGTTCCTTGTGCATGTGTTCTCCCTACCCCACACACTTCACTGTCTGATTCTTAATTATCCTTGAGATCTTGTCTTTGTATATTTCCTCGGAAAGTCTTTCTTTACACACACACAGGTCCTGTAGCACTCTGTGAGGGCAGGGACTCCATACTTCATTCTCATGGCCACTTGTTTTGCTGGGTGGCAGGTGCCTGCTTGCTGATCTCTTTGATGTCTGTGATGGTGAGGACCCTTGTCCATTTCATTGGCCAGTGCCTGTCACAGAACTGGCACAACTAGGATTCAGTGAACTACTTGGAGAAGGAGAAAGTGAATGGAAATGCCTCTTTCACATAGGACCTAGTAACCAGCCTAAATGAGATTTAAAGGTTCTGAAGTATGTTTTGGAAAAGGTGTAAATTCAATACAAGATGAGATAGTGAGGTCTGGCCCTTAGCTTTGTAGGCTTAAAAACTATTTTTTATATGCATAGCAGATTGACTTAAAGTAATTCACGAGGGCTACTTTATAATCATAAATATATCAAATAATAAATCGATAGAGGCTCGGCACCTATAGCTCAGCAGCTAGGGTGCCAGCCATATACACTGGAGCTGGCAGGTTTGAACCCGGCCCAGGCCTGCCAAACAGCAATGTCAAGTACAACCAAAAAAAAAAGAAAAGAAATAGCCAGGCATTGTGGCAAGCACCTGTAGTCCCAGCTACTTGGGAGGCTGAGGCAAGAGAATCGTTTAAGCCCAAGAGTTTGAGGTTGCTGTGAGCTGTGACCTGCCACAGCACTCTACCAAGGGTGACATAGTAAGACTCTGTCTCAAAAAAAAAAAAAAAAAGAATAGAATAAATCAAAAGATCAGTTTCTTGACTAGGGAAGAAAATCTGACTTCTGTCTTAAGAAGACAAGTCGGGGAGTCATATCTTTTTTTTTTTTTTTTTTTTTTTTGAGACAGATCCTCAAGCTGTCCCCCTGGGTAGAGTGCCATGGC